GGTACAAAATGTCGATGAATGAATGATCAGCCAGTACGAGTGACAAGGGTTTGAGCAAACGAGTAAACGCTTTGTAGGTTTACAAATGAATAGGGCCGTAAATAGACAATCACATCCCTTCTGAATCGCAAAAAACAATGAACATCGAACCCGGCAACCTAATCACCTTAAGGCTGTTGTGAGTGATTTATGCTTGCTGGAGAGCAATATACAATTATAAAACAGATAAAATGAACAAAAAGATTGGCAATGGTGCCAGATTTGTGCGAATACGCCTTTGGTATATGAGGATGACTAGAAGATAATATGCGACGAAGGATTACTATTTTCCATTCGATTAGCAGGCGCAAGCTGTAATTTGTAACACTTGTAAGTGTGCTCCCTTCAAATACAAAGGATACGATCACTGTTTGAGGATAACACTTCGTATTCAAATCTTTGAAGGGCTAGCTTGAACTCAAGTTCCTGCTTACATTCTTACAGATCTTTTACGTTTTCTCATCACTGCGGTATTATGGAAGGCTTTTACGTTGTTTTGGCGTTAGAAGCGCGATTAGCATGGAGACACAGGCAGTTCAAACAACGGAAACTTCAACGCAATATCCGGTATGTTAACCCCAATCATGAATCATATGATACCTCGAAGTTTTGTATTTAAGGCTGTTGTGAGTGATTTATGCTTGCTGGAGAGCAATATACAATTTAGGGCCCTAATAGTATCTAAAGATTTGACAACCATTAATGGATAAGGGTTAATTTCAATCTATGATAAAACTTAGCGAAGGTTTGGAAATAAATGATTGTAGCGACCAAATAGTGACTCGTAGTTTAGGACCTCAAATGAATCTACCCTTAATTTGAAAAACTTGATTGAATATCAAAACATTTTGCTCTTCAAAGAAATATTGAGAAAAGGCGAAAAGCACAGAACCATGAACCATAACTTGGAGACAACAATTGCAGACGTTAATTTTTGAAGAATTTGACAAAATTATGGAACGCGAACTGAAGCACTCCATGTTCCGTCTATTAAGGAGAGGCTGACTTTAACCGCATGTACAGATAATTCTCAAAATGAGCTTTTGAAAAGAAAATAGAACTAGTTTTAATAGTTCTGCAAAATTTATTAGAAACTAGAAGATTTGGACAGCATCTACATAGATGTGGTACTTATAAGGAAGAGGATACTTTGTGATATAGCGACTGACCAGAAAAAAACTTTCGTGATCATCGTAGGGGTTTGTTTCGCAGAAAAGGAAGGCAATTTGGATTTGGTGTTTCATGAGTATCTGCTGTTCATCGCTCATTGGATGACTGAGCCACCAAAGATTCCCGTAAGAGCGAATGCGCGCCTTGGACCAAAAAAAGGAGAATCGTATGATTTGCAGTCTACAATTGCTTCTTAGCTAGTAAGTAAGTAGTTATGTATTTTTGAGCAGGCAAACACTAAGTAACGTATTAATTCCCCATTAAACACTCTCGAATCCTCCTTCACGGAATTACAATCACACTATTTGATAAGACCCTCAGTAACCTAAGAAGAGTTAAGCATTTCTTATAAAGCTTCTTTATAAAGATAGGAAGCATTGAGGAAAAAAGCGAATTTTAAAGGGCAAAGATTATATTCTTCGCTAGCAAAATTTCCCTAAAAATCTTATTGTTACTATCCCCGCTCATAACTCAAAACCCGCCTATTCTAGAAGTGCATTGCATATGAAGATGCGCAATTATATTTTAAAATATTTTGAGCCCTTCCTAGAAAAGCGACAAAACAAGCACTCATAGCTCTAAGCACCGTCAGTGAAATAAAACTACCTAATATGATAAAGCTATGACAATGATAAACTTACCATAATTGAATGCTATGCAGAGTAAAGAGATTAGGAGCAACATGTTTGTCGAGAATGACCAAGGTGACTGGAGACAGCTGACCTATCACTACCCGAAACCTATGGCTGTTGGGTACAACAGGATTGAGGAAGTGATGGAAGAAATCACGTGTGAAAGTATGCTAACTACACTTCATCACTATAGCAAAGTTCTTTGCACACGTAGAACAATTTGATGTACTCTGACCTTCACCGAGCACTTTATCATTTTGGGACTAGCCTTACACAATGAGGTCAGTAATCATGCGCTTTTTCTTAATCTTTCATGCGCACTTTTACTATGGAACAATTGTTAGGTACGCCACTCTTGCAAAAGTTCACTCGCAGTTGCTGAAGGAAAATCGGAGACGATAAGGGGGCACAAAGACAAATCCGACTGAAAAGATCAGCGATAGGCCGAGAACGAAAAAAACAACACTACAGAAATATGGCAACTCGTTTTCCGCTGCAAGCGTAAAATCTCTGTCTCAAAAAAGTACATTCTCGCAAAAGTTATAAAGTCTAAAAAGATGGTCTGAAAAATAAGATCCAAATCTTAAAGGTTAGACTAAGATGATGAAAAGAAACGCTGTGAATAACGTTCAATATTTTTTACCAGAACTCCAAGTATTCGTTGTGAGAAAATTCGTGCCGTTTTTCTCAGGCTCGGAAAAATTTCAAAATCGAAAGTTTTGGCAATATTATACTTGAAAGAAAAATTTCCCACTATAATATATAT